GTTCGCCTGGTTCCCTGAACCCAGGCCCTAGGTTCCTTCGAAGGAACCTAGCACCTGGGTTCGAGGAACCCGCGCCTGGGTTTGAGGAACCCAGGCGCTGGTGCTGTGTTCCTTCGAACCCAGTAGGGAGGGGAAGGAGAAAAGGAAAGAGAAGGAGAAAGAAAAAGGAAAGGAAAGAAAAAAGAAAAAAAAAAAGAAATTTTTATTTATTAAAGGAAAGATTTTTTTAGTACTTTTTTAATTTCGAAGGTAAATTTAGTTCAAAAATGAAAGTTGAGGGACTGAATCGGGGATTTAACCTTTTTTTTCAAACCTTTGGTCTGCAGTGAGACCCACAAATAAAATTGGTAGCAGGTAGACTTCTCGCTCATGGGGTTCCAAGTTGGCATGCCAAGTTGTCAAAAAAGTCTGAGTTGGCGCTGACATGTGCATACTTGACGGAGGCCAACGGTGCACGTGTTACACGTGACGCTCCGGCATTAAATTTTGCCTCATTTCCTCAAACTCAAAAATATTGAGGGTAAAAATTTATGTATTGTAATATGAAAGATAAAAACCTTCAAATTCAAAAAGTTGAAGGGCAAACGGGTACCTTTTGCCTTTACTTTTGGGGTATTCCTTGTTTTAACAGACAAGCCAAAGCAAACAAAGAGTAGAACTGTAGAACTGAAGAAGAAGACGAAGCAAGCAAAGTGGGGATATCTTGAAATGCTAAAAATAAATAAATTTCAGGGTTTGAGCTGCAACCTCTTACCAACCAGAATAACGTGGCCCAATAAAAGTGAAAGTGTTGGCCGGAGAGTGCGGAAGGTGAGTGCCCTTAGCACTCCTCTTCAAAAGATTGTGACCGGCCTTATCTTACCTTCGACTGGTCGAGCCGGTAGAAAGATTATGACCGATGACAGGCGGTATCCTTGTCCTTGGTTAAAAATTGACCGCGGTTGAATGATTTTTCCTCGCAGTTTTAACGATCCTTCGGTTAAGTCCGGATTCCTATAGAGGGAGAAAAAGGAACGTAGAACGAAAAAGAAAGAGAGAGACTCGTCAACTCTGCTGCAATTGCTTTTTCGACAGAACTCTGGCAATGCATGTGCTAGTGTCCTCCGCTTACCGTGCCCTCATTGAGAGAGTTTGTCTTTTACGGTTTTACCTCCCTCGACGCAGGAGGTAGGGGTAGGGCTAGGCATTTTTTAACCGAACCGATTGTTTACTCGAAAATTGAACCAAAAAAATGAATTCGGTTCGGTTTCAACGGTTTTTGGTTTTATTTTTTTGGTTTCGATATTAACCGAATATATTTCGGTTTGGTTTCGGTTGAATCTCTTAAAAATCAAAAACCAAAAATAAAACCGAAATTAGGATAAAATAGATAAAATATATTAAAATATGATAAAATATAACAAAATA